TGAATATTGGGACAAGGTAAGCAGAGTGTAAACATGAAAGTCTTTTTTATATTTTAAATTTCATCAAAAGAGACAATTGTAACCAGGCACAGTGGCGGATGTTAACAAGACCTGTATTGACCGGTCCGGGCACCCAATCGTGATGCTGAACAGATGAAGCTGTCATGTTCTGTGTCAAAATACCTCAGGAACAAAGGAGGAAAACTGGACACCCATGTGATGTCCACATCTTATATAAACATCAACTCAAAATGGGCCGTGGGCTGCACATAAAACCGAAGCCATAAAACATCCAGAAGGAAATGGGGAGGGGGTTGTGACCTCATTAAGTAAAGACTTAAATACCAAAAGCAAGAGCTATAAGAGGACACTCTGATTAGCGTCATCAAAATGAGAAACGTTCTACGAACAACACTGTTATGAAATGGGGAGACAGTCTACCATCAGGGTGGAAATGTTTAGGAAGGGCCCGTCCCACGCAGGCTTATGTCTGGACCAAGAATGTGCCATTCTCAACCAGCCACACCCGAGACTCAACTAGCACCCCCCAAAATGAGCAAGAGACTTGATTAGAAGTGACAGGATGCAAATAAAAACATGAAACATGTTCAACATCATTGAACATTAGAGAAACACAAATTAAAACCCTGACGATATACTACCACAGACGCCCAAGAATGGCTCAAAGAGAAAAAAGACAAAACCAAGTGCTGCCAAGAACACAGAGCACCAGGAAACCCCATGCACTGCAGGTGGCAAGTGAAATGATAGGTCTGCTCAGAAAACCTACTTGGGCAATTTCCTTTTTTTTCTTGTTTTTATTTATGCGTAGAAGAGCAGGGGTGCAGGCCAGAGGCATGGGGTGGGGGTGAGAGGACTCCCCAGAGACAGAGCGGGGAACAGAACAGGCGGATCTACTGAAATCCACTGCTGAGGAAGCAGTGGGGAGACAGGAGCACCCTGCACCCTGTAGGTAGTCCCCTGACTGGGGATCAAGCTCATGCCGTTACAGTGGTCGCCCTGAGACTTAACCCGTAGGCCACCAGGGAAGCCCTACTTGGGCAATTTCTTACAAAGCGAATACACTTGCTATATGACCTGGCAATCCCACTCCTGGGCTAATTTACCAATAAAATTGAAAACCGGTGTGTGCAAAAACGTGTAGCAATTGTTTGGAGCAGTTTTGTTCATAGTTACTGAAACTAGAAGCAACCCACATGCCCCGAAGGTGTGGTACGGCACACAGCGGGACACCACCCGGCGACGAAGGAAGGACACAGGCATTCGTGCCGCACTGAGCAAACCTCAAGGCCCCCTGACACAAGGCCCGGACCCCGCTGGCAAGACCGAAAACAGACCCACGTGGGCATTACGGGGAGGGTCAGGGATGACCGCAAGGGCCGGGGGGGGGGTCAGCGGTGATGACACGTTTTCTGGTCCGGAGGGTCGCGTGACTGCGCGCCCAACGGAATACATTTTCCTGGTTTCAGTGTAAAAAGTGACTGAACGCGGAAAATGGCAACGGGCTGCTTCAAGCGAAACGAGTATATCACAAAGCTCAGGGCACGTGCCACAGAGGCTGCATCCGGCCATCGCACAAAGGACTGGGAGCAGCTGTGGGGAAGGGTCTGACGTGCTGGGGGGTCGCTGAGAAAGCCCAGGGGGGCTGGAGCTGAAGGATGGAAAGAGCCCAGGAGGGCGGCGGAGGGGACTGCGGAGGGGGCAGGGCACGAGGCGCGGGGCGGGAGCCAGCACGAGGGGGGCTGGGGAGGGCTGGACCGAGAACACGGGGCTCAAAGGCGTCCTCAGTCAGCAAGAGCCGCGCCCCGGGCCTCGGGGCTGGCGGATTCCGTCAAACGTCTCTGTCCACCCCACGCCGACTCAGAAGCCAAGGCAGGGCCCGCGGGCCCGCGGCACCACAACCCCGGCCAGAGCAGCAGAGGAGCCGCCGCAGCTCGGCCCGACCGCGGGGCCTGGCGCGGGACGCGAGGGCGCTGGACGCCGGGCGCCGACGCACCCCAGGCCGGGCGCCGCGCAGCCGTCTGGACAGGTGAGGAGCGTCTGACAAGACTCACCCCTTATTCAGGACTTTAAAAAACCCTCAGAGAAAGCGTGAATTTGAAGGCGCGCCCACGCACACCCCAACGGCCTGGCCCGACGGCCAGGCTGAGGCCCCCCGCGCAGGCAGCCAGAGGCCCGTCCGCTCAGCGCGCTCAGCAGGGAGGGCCGGGGCCGGCCGAGACCCGCGGCGGGACCCCCGGGGCGTGCAGGAGAGAGCCGAGGGGGAGACCCCGGCGGCGAGGCGGGAGACGGGGGCCCGGGGTGGCAGCGCGAGGCTATGGGGGTGATCTCTCGACCGTGACCCCAGCTACCCCCGACTCGCGCCCTTCAAGGTGGCGGGTCGTGAAGGTGCCAGGCAGGCGCGGGGAGAGGCCTGCCAGACGGGGTGGGCGGCGGGACCCACCGCAGGGACAGACTGCGGGGGAGGGCCCCGGCCCCGCTCACTCTGCGCTGTCACCATCTCGCCCGCGTCCGCGAGGAGCATTCTCAAGGAAATGGACTGAAGCAGCCCGGGGGCTCTGAGGCCGGGGCGACGGGGTGCTGGCCGCCCCCAGACCCGGCGCCCCTCCACCCCAGGTCAGAGGACAGAGGGAGCCGCGGGGGCGGAATGCCGGGGCTGGTCCGGTTCTCCCCCTTCTCGTGGGGCCCCCAGCACCGCCTGCGCTCCGAGGCGTGGAGGGTGGGCCCCGGGCAGAGGCCTGGCAGGGGCCTGGCAGGGGCGGGGCGGGGCTGAGACCCACAGCCGCACCCGGACACCCTCGCCCGCAACCCCTGCAGGAACAGTGTCTGCGCTGCGACCCACAGCCGAGATGGCTCGGGCCGGCCCCGCCGCCTGCTCTGCCCCTCCGCGCCGGCAGCACCTTGTCCCCCTCGGCCACGCCTGGAGGAGACACCCCGGGTGCGGCCCTTTGGCCCCCATCCCAGGAGCAACAGGACCCCAGGAGGCCCGATGATGCCGCCCACCGGAGCCTCGAGGGGACCAGCCTGCGCCCCACCACGCTGGGGGCCGGCTCAGCCCCTCGCCCTCACCAGGCCCCCGCGGCGGCCTCGCTCTCACCTCGGGAGCAGCCGAACAGGAGGAGCACCTGGGCCCGGCGGGGACGGGGAGGGCGGGGGCTGCCGGGACATGGACAATGGCGGGGGAGGACGGAGGGCGGGCGGGCGGATGAGGGTGGATGCGGAGGGCGGAAGGCAGAGCGTGGGGTACTGGCCCAGGCTGCAGCTCCGCCTGAGTCAACGGCTTTACTCCAAAGTGAGCCCCATCACCGGGGCGCCACCCCCCCTCAGGGCACAGCCCCCCCACCCCCGCACCAGGCTTCCCCTCTGGCTGCCGCTCTCTGAGGCCCCTCTATCTGCACCGTGCAGGTGGGGAAACTGAGGCTAGAAAGGACTGAGGGCGCGTCCTCAGGGCACAGGCCCTGTCTGGGGCCCGCACGAGGCAGGCGGGGACACGGGGGGCCTGGGGCGTGGGGGCGACGGGGCAGCAGCCTCGGGGACTAGGCCCTCCTTGTCGGCCCGCCCGGGCCCCTCCCCGCGCCCCCAGCACACCCGGACCCAGCTACGCCCGCAGCGTCACTGCCGATAACCTAGATTTTAACCAAGAAATCGCACCCGCCCTGCCCCACTTCTGGGCTCAGGCAGGAGCGGCGCGGCCTGGAACCTGCTGCCCGCCGCCCGCCTGCCCACCGCCCCTCGCCCCCCTCCACCCACCCGGAGGGGCAAGGACCGGCCTCCAAGGTGCGCGGAGCCCCGGGGTCCTGGGTTCTGGGGGGCCGGGGCAGCTCCGCCTCCCACCCCCACACTCGCCTCCCCGTGGCCGGCCCCAGGGCTCCTGGGACCCCAGCGGGCAGTGGCTGCCCCTGCAGTGGGGCTCCGGAGCACAGGGTGGGGTGCACTTGTGGGCGCCCCGCACTTCCCCGTCTCAAACTCACACACGCGTGGCCCGGGCCCGCCGGCTGGAGGGGCTGTGCAGAGGGAACCCCGGGGAGACAGGGAGAGCCTGGGTCCTCTCCTGGCAGCTGGGTGCTCGCCCTGGACTGCCAGGGACCCCGCGCCGGGCCCGCAGCAGGGGAGCCCTGCGGAGCCCCTCCAGCCACAGCACGGAGACAGTCCTTCGGGGCCCGGAGGCCAAAAGGGTCAAGTCAGGGCACGCGGGCCTCCAGGCACGCCACGGCTGCCCCCTGCTGCGAGGGGGGCCCAGTTGGAGGCCCGAGGCCGGTCTCCCCGGATCTCACACAAATGTGGCAATTCTTCCAGCGATACGGGGGCCGGGCAGGGGCTTCCCAGGGTCCCAGCCCCCCTGACCCCAGCCCCCCCGCACTGATGGAGGCCGGGGAGCAGGCAGGGGTGGGCGTCTGGGGCGGGAGGACCTAGGGGCCCTCGCTGGCCCCGACCCTGTCCACAGCCCGCAGGCTGGTCGGGGGGGGCAGCCAGCCCCAGCACAGCCCGGCGGGCCCCTCGCCCAGCGAGCGGGGACGAGCGCGGCAGCCAGGGCCTCCCACTGCGGCCGCACCGGTTACGACCCAAATGGGGAGCCCACAGTGGGGCCGCGCCTTCGGCTCAGTGGGCACCTCCAGCCCGTCCGTGGGGCTGGGCAGGGCAGTGCTGGACCCCGGGTAGCCGCGAGCAGAGCACGCAGCGGGAAAGGGAAGCGGTCACAGGGAGGAAGCGGGGCCGGACGCCCCCAACTGCCCGCCCACGGGGCGCCTCCTCCATGAGCAGGGACAAGGCCCCGCCTCCCCCAGCCCCGCCCCGCCCCGTGCCAACCGCAGCCCAGGGCTCCCGCCAGCCTTCCCGGGCCCGCGGGTCGCGCCGGCCGCGTCAGGCCCTCGGCACAGGCAGCGAGACAGACCGGCCCCCTCCCGCCTTCACTCGGCCCTGAGCTCAGGCCCCCGCCTGCCGGGCCGCCCCGCCGCCCGGGCCTCGCGCGCCCGCCGCACCTGCGTAGCTGCCGGTGGCCTTGATGTACACCTGGCCGTACTGCTCCTCCGCCATGGTGTCGTAGGCCTCGTCGTCCTCCTCATCCTCCTCGTTGTGGTAGGACGTGGGGCTGTCGGTGGTGGGCAGGCTGCTGGCCCCCGGGCTGGTCCGCTCGCCCTGGGGGTAGGGCACCTGCTGGACGCTGGGGATGAGGGTGGCCAGGCTGGGCATCCCGTAATAGGAGACCCTGGACAGCTTGAGCGGGGCCGCGCCCGCCGCCACCGCGGCACCTGCTGCCACGGCCATGCCGTCCCGGGGCCCCGACTCGAGCGGCCGCTTGGAGGCCAGGCCTGGGCCGGCGGCCGGCGGCAGCTCCATGGCTTCGTGCTTCACGCGCGTCAGCAGCGGGATGGGCACAGAGGGGGACACGGCGAAGGGGGCGGCGGCGGGCGGCGGGTTGCAGGGGCTCTGCGGCTCCGAGCTGGCGTCCTCGGTCACGGCCGTCTGCGAGTCGCAGTGGGGCGAGCTCACCTTGAACATGAGGTCCGTGCCGCGCTCCACGATGTGCTGGATCTGCAGGAAACCGGCCGTGTACATGACCACGAGCTGCTCGCTGGCCGCCATGGTCAGCCGGCCCGTGTAGCAGAAGGACAGGATCTGCTGGAAGCAGGCGGGCGGCACGGTGCCGGGCAGCTCGAAGGCGCTCTTGCTGTTGCCGCTGAACAGGTCTCGGAAGTAGAGGCTGCTGGCGGCCAGCACGGCCCGGTGGGCCTTGAAGGCCTGGCCCTTGACCACGATGGACACATCGCAGTAGAGCCCCAGCAGCCGCTGCTCATTGAGGCAGCCGAGCACGGTGCTCCCGAAGTTGGGGATCTCAATGTGCAGCATCTGCGCCATGGCGGCCGGCAGGGGGTCCTCAGGCTGTCAGGGGGCGCCCGGGGGGGCACATCTGCGGGGAGGACAGAGGTGATGACCGCCTGCGCCCGGCCCTCCAGCCCAGGCAGGGCCACACCGCCCCAATCCTGTGAGGGGCTGGGATAGCACCCCCCCACCCCGCCTCCCTCAAGCAAGCCCCCCCTCTGGGCAGGGAACCCAGATGCCCCGGGAACGCCGTTCACGGGGAGACCCCACTGAGCCAACCTCGGCACTGCCAGGGATGCTGGAAGCCCCAAGTCCCCAGCCAGGGGCGTCCCTTGGAGTGCTCCCAGCATCCCGGAGCAAGCCGGGCGGAGACAGGTCTCAGGAGGGGGCAGAGTGTGGCTTCGTAGAGGGGGCAGGGGGACGAGGGGGCAGGGGCGGGCCGGGGCCGCCGCAGGGGTGAGGGGGTGAGTCCTGGTGCACAACTCTGCTCCAGGAAAAGTTAGCAGCGCAGCCCACCGCTTCCCGGGGGGCCAGGCCTGGGGATGGGCAGGCGGCACAGGGGTGTCCAGGGGGATCTCTCCAGGGTTTTGGTTTCGGGTTTGTTCTTCTGCTTCCCCTCAGGCCAGGAGCACAGGCCCAAAAGGAGGGCGTCCGGCCCTGCAGAGGACGGCCCTGTGGCCTGGGCAGCAGGAGGTGCGAGTGTCCAGGGCAGTGGCCCGCCTGGGGGCAGTCGGTGGGCTCCAAGGGAGCCCCACACCTGGGCTTCCCTGTGGGCCTGGGGGCTCACAGCGAGCCCCCACCCCACCGTGGGGTGCAGCTCCGGGTGGGGGGGCTGGACCTAGCCGGCCCCATCCTTGGGGGGGCCTGGCCCCAGCCCGGCCCACTCTGGGTCGGGGGAGGCAGACCCAGCCCAGCCCACTGCCAGGGCCCCTGACCCAGCCGGGCCGCGGGGTGGGGGGGGGGCGGCCCCAGCCTGCGCGCAGTCAGGGCGCTGCAGACTGGAGTTGGAGCCTGTCGCAGTCCTACTCGCGCACCCGGGCCCCCTCCGGCCCCGCTTCCAGGCGGCCAATCCCTGCTGGCGCCTTCCCAGCCAGGTGACTGGAGGGGTCACGGGGCTGGGGCTGGGGATGCCGCGGGGGGCTGGGGCGGCTCCGCAGCGCAGGTCGCAGGTCGGGCGTCCCGCCGGAGGGGGCTGGGAGGCGCCGGCCCAACTCCGCGAGCGCCGCGGGGGCCGCACAAAGGGCCGTCCCGAGGGAGGAAAGTGCGGCGGCCGGGGAGGCGCGGGGCGGCGGGGGCAGAGCCAGGGTGGCAGCGGACCCTGGCCGCGGAAGGAGTTGGGCAGGTGGGCGGCCGCCGGGGGGGCGCGGTGCCGCTGCCGCGCTGTGGAGAAGTTGCCGGCCGCGGGGTGGCCCGGCCGGCCCGGGAGACCTACCTTTGGCCGCTGCCGCCCGTGGCCCCGGCACTGCCCGCTCAGCCTGGCAGGGGCTGGCTCCCCGCACGCCGGCCGCCCGCAGCCGCCAGCTGCTCCGGGAATGCAGCAAACGGAGCGGGAGCCCTTGGGGTGGGGAGGGTGCGAGGAGCCGGGAGGAGGAGGCAGGGGCGGGGGGAGGAGGGGGGCAGCAGAGCCTGGGCCGGGCCGGGCGGCCGCTCAGCTGCACCCAGCCCGGCTCCGGGGCAGCGCAGCATCTAAATGAAGAGGCCGGATGCAGACGGACACCCAGGCGCGGGGATGAATGGCCGCCTTTGATTTGGGGCCGCGCGAGTGCCAGCTCCCAGCCCTGCTCTCACAACAGCGGAGCGCCCGTGCCAGAGGAATGTGTGGCTCCGGGTGCTGGTACAAGACAGACTTTTGATGACTCACTGCAATGCAAACAAAGATGGCAGAAGCCAGTACAGTAGCGGGACGCTCCGTGGTGCCACGGCAACTGCGCCAGCCGGGATTTATGTGCAGTTTGCATGTGAATTACCCAGCGAGCCGCGCCCGGCCCAGGGCGGCCGTGTCACAGCATTTAGGCGCTTCCGAACAGCGTGCAGGCTGGCGGCGGCCTCGCGCCTCGGGCGGGCAGGGGGACGGCGCGAGGGGACGGACCCGGGGACGGGACCAGGGAGCGGGCAGGAGCCCCGGGGGTAGGAAAGGAGGGCGCGGGGCAAGCAGCAGAGGAAGAGAGGAGGGCGCAGGGAGGAAGAGCAGGGGACGGCCCGGCCCAGGCCGTGCCCCCGGCCGACCTGCCACCTCCCCAGGTGCCCGGGCACTTTCTCGCTTCCCGGGGTCCCGGCAGCAGGCCCAGCTCCCCACGCACCTGCCCCAAACCCGCCAGTCCAGCTCCCTTAGGAAGGGCGTCTGTGCTCAGGCAACGGCACCCTGGTTCCCGGGGCGTGCCCGGCAGAGGTCGAGTCACATCGGTGCCCGGCGAGGGCCACAGGCCACCTCCAGCCTCCCAGGGAGGGGGGCTGTGCCCCATGCCGGCTCCAGCCCCCACCCCCTTAGCCCCCCGCAGCAAACCACTGGCCTGCCTGGCCCCACCCCGGCCGCGGTCCAGGAGGAGCAAGGGCCACATGGGATGGGCCGGGGACACCTGGGGCAGCCCCCTCCCACGTAGAGCCCAGCCTCAGAGCCGCCTCACGGCCCGCTTGGGGGACGTCCCCCAGCAAAGTGCCTGGTGCCAAGCGAGCTCAGTGGGGGCATGGAGTCACCACTGCCAGGTGGGCAGTAAACTGGGCATAGTGGGGGACGTGCTGCCCACAACAGTCCAGCAGAGAGGGGCGCAGACTGACCCATGTGCCAGGCGGGCAGGACCACCATGCCAGGGGGACAGCTGGCTAAGGGCCCTAAGGGCCACCCGAGGGCTCAACTGCCAGGGCTGCAGGCCAGGGGGCAGGGGCAGGGTGAGGCCTGCAGGCCGGGTCCTGGTCAGTGGGCAGGGCTGAAGCCCCGGGCTGGGCCAGGCAGCAGCCCCACAGGCCACCCCATGTGGTGCCCTGCAGCCCTGGCAGAGGATGGCTCTGTGACCTGGAGGGAGGGAGGGTGGCCCTGGGCAGCGGGGCCAGGTGGGCTCGGGACAGGGCCGGCCCTCCCCAGGGAAGAACCGCATCCCCCGGAGGCCGCCATGGCGAGGCCAGCTGGCACGGCGGCTGCCCTGTCCTCACACTGCCCGGCGGCCGCCCCAGAGGGCGCGGACAAGCGGGTGTTAGGTTGCTTTCTTAGAAGCTCGGCTCCAGCGACAACAAAGCTGAACTTTAGCAGAAAAGAATCAAATAAAGGGTTGGTTCATGCGCCCAGGGTCCGAAAGCAGGACGAGCCGGGCCGGCCAGGCGCGGGGACCAGAGGACAGGCCCCACCCCCGGCCAGCCTCGCCACTGCCTCCACGGGAACCTGCCGCCGTGAGTGGGCGCCAGGAGCCGCAGCAGAGGCCACACCCCACCTCAGAGCAGGCCCCCACGTCGCCTCTCAAGATGGAGCCACGGCGGGCAGCCCTGCTAACCCCAAGGCCGGGCCCAGCCCTGCAGCCAGGCCACGCAGGGCCAGAGCAGTACCAGGGTCTCTGTGACCCTCCCCAGGCAGGGCCGGGTCAGGCCGAGTGTCCCTGCCCTGCTGCCCCTGCAGGCTGCGGGCCCACGCATGGACAGGAGTGCCCAGAGAGGAGGGCGCGGCGCGGGCCCCAAAGCTGCAGAATCACAAGCCCAGCGGCCGAGGACGCACAGGCTCTGGGTGCGGGGTCCAGGGCGGCTGCACGGAGCTCCGGGGTGCAGCGCCCCCCCAGCACAAGGTCTGGCTGCCCAGGGCCCAGGACCCCCAAACTCTCCCAGGCCCCGCAGCTCTTTCCGGGCTGGGGCGCAGAGCCGGGGCCCACGTTTCGTTTCTGCAAGCTCACCACCAGCAAGAGAGAGGGAAGCGAGATAAATTAAATTAAATACAATTATTTTGCAGGATTTAATTTGACCAATCTAATAAGGGGTCTGGACCTCGCAGACGCACGGCCATTAAACACGCCCAGGCAGGGAGCGCCTCTCCCCAGGCCGCCTCCCAGCCCGAGGCGCTGCCCCGACGGCCCCCACTCCCAGCCAGGCCCCCCACCCGGGGTCAGCCAGATGCAGGGAGCCCCACGGCCCCAGTGGGAGCTGCCGGCCAGCCCTGGGGCCCGGGGCTGCCAGTGAGGAGGGCCCCGCCCGCCGCACCCCTGCCCCCGCCTGCGCTGGGCCTGCCTGGGCGGTGCCGACAAGCCCGTGGACGCTCCCTCTGCGTGCGGGTGAGGGTCGGGGCTGCGTGAGGCGCCCAGTTTGGGTCTCTGGTTTGCAATCAACTTTTAGTTCACCACAGAGCAGAGCTGGGCCACCCCCGAGGCCCCGGCAGGCAGAAATGGGCTGCAGGGAGGGACTCAACTGCCACCGCTGCTCCCCGCCATCGCACCAGACCAGACCGGCACCCGCCACGCTGGACAGCAGGGCCCAGGGCAGGCAGGCCAGGTGCCCAGGAGGCCGCTGCGGCTGGTCACACCGGCGACCCCCGTCCACCTCCGCTCTGCACTGGAGCTGGCCAGGGAGGGGCCCTTCACCGGGCGCCCCCCACCCCCCCGCCGCCTGCAGGGCATCGACCGGCCTCAACCGTAAAAGCCGGTCTGACGACACCCACGAGCGCCTGCCTGGAAGCTTTTCTCAACAAGGGCAGCGAGCCAGGGGCTGCGAATTCAGAACCTGCCACGGCCCTTTCCCGCGCCCCGAGGAGACAGCTAGGAGAGGGCAGGGCCGGCGGCTCCAGGGCCACAGCCCGCAGACGCCCCTGCTGGACACGGGAGCCCTGTGTCCCTCGGCAGCGGCCCGGGGGAGAGGAGAGTCCGGCGTGCCCCCCGCGGCCGGCCGGGCCCCGCTGAGCCGCGCTGGGGCCACCGGACACCCGGCTCCTCTCCAGCTGGGCAGCGGAGCTGAGGCCGCACAGCACCCCCCCCCCCATCCCGCAGGGCGCTTGCCACCAAGTAGTTCTAGAAGGTTCCAAAGAATGAAGCGGTGTTTTGAGTGGAGCAGACAATCTCTCTCACCCGTATTTGTAATTTAAATACCGTAAGCTTGAAGAGTGTCTCCCTGGGGCACAGTTTAATAA